GTCAAAAGGAACAAACTTCCAGTTGTACAATAAGTCAGTCATGGGCCTGTAAGGTGCTACACAGTGACCACAGTTAGTCCCGCTGGGCTGTGCATTTGAAAGTTGTGAAGAGTAGCTCTTAAAAGTTCCCGTTAAAAGAAAAATTTGTAACTGTGTGGTGACAGATGAGAACCAGACTTCCTGTGGCGATGGTTTCATGGTGCCTACAGCTTTCAAAGCATTATGCTGACCTGAAACTATGTCCACTCCCACTCCCTCTATACAGCAATTAAGCTCATGAGACATTCAAACTCAAGTTCAAAACTCAGTTACTTTATGTGGATAATCATTTGACTTTTCTCATGATACCAAGGAAGAGAGTATTGATTGTCAGGGAACTGGAAAAACTGGAAGAAGTAATTTTAATACATGGAAAATACGGCTGGTTTGAGAGGAAGTGAGTAGAGGATGCTAACAGATGAGCTAAGAGTGTAAGTAAACCGAGTAGAAAGGCCTAGAGTCAGTTTTATCCCTGGGTTCTAACTGAGGACACCTCTATGTTTAGTCTTTGGCAGTTTATAGTGATTTCCACATTTGTCAAAAGACTACAAATGGCCACTGCCTGCACATTCCATAGTATGACACAGTTGTGAGGACATCCTTGGGATCTGAAGAAACTTTTCTACAGAACAGTCAGTTATTAGAATTGTGACTTCCAACAGGCAAACAACATTTAATACTATTTTAGAAGGCAGATCCTTAGGTAACCTAAAGTCTCTCCAGGTGTTATAAAAATATTTACCCATGACCCTAAAAATTCCACTTAAACTTTTTATAGTCAACCTAAGAAAACGAATTCAATAATAAAAGCTATTGGGGGGTGCCTGGGTGGTTCAGTAGGTTAAGCGTCTGCCTTCAGTTCAAGTCATGATCCTGGGGTCCTGGGATTGATCCCCACATCAGGCTCCTCCTCAACAGGGAGCCTGCTTCTCCTTCTCCCTCTGCCCCTCTTCTCATGCTCTCTCACTCTCTCAAATAAGTCAACAGAATCTTTAAATAGTAATAATAATGCTGATAAAAGCTATTGGAGGGTAAGTTTACTTAACTATCCCAGTTCCTGTGAAACTGCACTGGAGTGTTAATTATTAGAATCATAAATACTCTTTTTACCTGTTATCTTTCCCTGGGTACATCTGAGTATATTCAACTCTATATTTTTTGGCAAAAAGCATGAAGGCATTCATTGGTCTTTTGCACTTGTTAGGAGAAGTGGCGCTCACAGTCCCTGAGCTGTGGGTTTTGACAGCTTTAGCATACAAGGAATTGGAAGAGAGCTGTGATGATCCTGGTGAGCCACAGTTTTTACTGAGTCCAGATCTTGCAAAGTCTTGACCTCCAGGCCCTCCACAAGACAAAGATGCACGACGCTGACGAGCCATACTACTTAACACATAGACTGCAGAAGAATCCATAGGTGTGAAGTCATAGCTAAAAAAAAATTTATTAACATGGTTTTAATTCAGTTTGATTTGTAAAAACAGGATTTAAAAAAACAAAAACAAAAACCTTAACACCTGATCGGAAACTTCAATGTATATAATGTTAACCAACCCTACTTTAATAACTTCACCATCAATAGTTGCTTATAAGCTGACAGCTTGTATATGCACTAAAATTATTTTTTTAAAAATCTGCAGAGAATACAAAAGTTAAGAAAACTTCAAGCCCCCCACAAGAATGTTATAATCCACGCACTTTATTCATAGCAAGTACCTCCTCCAGATCCCATGCAACCCACTTAATTACTACTCTAGATTCACTTTTTGACAAATTTGATAATCTGATTTCTTGGCCGAAAGAAGCCTAAAAACAGCTAGAAAGTTAAAATGGAGCAGCAGGGCATATACCAGGCCTAAGTGCTACACAAGACCAAGTGTTGGGGAAGGACAGTCAAAAGTGGTTGAATACAGCTAAAGGAACTTAAAATTTTTTGTCTGTTTAGGTCAAAACAGTCATGTATACATCCATCGCCCCTAAAGGGCATCCATCTAATAGAACACAGCTTCATAACTTAAAAGTAAGAACTCACACTGATCAGGCAAGGCCGTATTTTGTTAAGTATATTCAGTTTACACGAGCATGGAAACAAGTTACCCATATTCTCATTTTCCCAACAAGCTTGCTTAGTGAGTATCATTATCCTCTCTTTATATAAAGAAACAGGCCAAAAAAAGGAACAAGTACTATTCACCCAAGGCCCCACAGCTACTAGATCCAGGCCCAGATCCGTCCACCCCTAAACCCCTAGGTTTCCTCACTAAAACCACGGTGCTCCGTCTTGCCACTGGCTGACATCAAAGTGAACAAACAATAATCAGACTCATTGAAAATATTACCTCAAAAGTAGAGCTAATGTAGATGACAGCCTAAAGATTACACCTGTCAAAAGATTCCTTTGGTTCCAAATGTGTTAACACCTACTGCTTATACCTTTTATCTTAACAGAAAACCTTGTATTCTAAATCTGGCCCCTACTCTCTCCCTGAAACAGAAGTTCTGGCAATCTATCACAACAGGTTGATATTAGCTACAGGAATCAGATACAGTTAAGTATCTACCTAAAGGTATTACGAATTATTCCAGAGACGGGGATGGAGAGAGCGAAGTGCATGAGGCCTGGGCCATTCACTGCACACAATAAAAAAGACTTCTACCAATTATCAACCACACCACGTGTGGTTTTTAGAGAGATTACATGAACTCAATGTTCTGACTCCAAAACCATCTAATCAATGCTTAGCAGTCAGGATCACGTCAAAGAAACAATTTTTGGCTGTCCTCAAGCGCCTCCCATGTATAATTTAGAAAAACGGCAAAATTAAGCATTATAAATGAACCTGACATACAATTATTAATCTCCCCCGAAGGAAGTATTTGATTACAATCTGAAATACCAAAAAGATTTAAGAAACTTCTGAGGCAAGCTCATGAACTACTGCAATTTGAAAACTCTACCATCTAGTGGTACGAATGGAGCCTACCCTCCGTTTCCATGATGGATACAACTTACTTAGCTTGAAATATTTAATCACCGAAATCTGGATTCTGAGGGAACAACGGCATCAAAACGTTACAGAGAATGTCTTAACAGCTTCACGTTTCGCTACGCTCGCCGCGCGAGCCCCTCACGGCCGCGGGGTCCTGCGCCGCGCCCGCGGTCACGCCTGCGCCCCGGCTCCCCGCCGCTGCTCGCTCAGGTCACCCTTCCCACCTTCACTACAGTCCCCCTCGGAAGAAAAACTCGCCAACAGGGTTAGTCTGTGAAGCGTACATGTCTGTTAACCAGATACTCACTTGAATCCTCCCTTCAACGTGATGCTCATTTTACAGATTTTACAGGTTTTTTTTTTAAAGAGCCACTGAAAAGTTCACCGCTGTCCCTCACTTCCCCAGCGCGCCCGCCGCAAAGCTGGGGGCTGGGCGCGGGGTTGGGGCGCGGCGGCCGGGCTCCGGAGCTCCCGTTCCCAGCAGGCCCTGCGGCCTCTCACGCGCACACACCGCCCCGCACACGTTCACTAGGCCCCGCCCTTCTCCCGAGGCGAAGCCAAGAGGCAGGCCCAGGGCTTAGCACAGTTTAAATCCCCACGCCCGGCACACACACCAGGCTCTCAAATATTTGATGACCAACTGAAAAGGTAAAAAAAAATAAATGCTGGATAACGTGATAATGTAAAATTTTAACTGGGTTCAAACCCCACCTCTTCCAGCAGGTTCAATAAACCATGTACCTCAGGTAACGTCTCTCCAAGACGCATGTGACACAGACCGTGCAGCTTTGCAGAGCCGACAGGGCCGTGCCCACAAGACCCAGGGCACAGACTGGCGCGCAGCAGTCCTGTGAGCACAGAAGTAGCCTAGACTGGTGAATCCTCAGATGATACAGACTTGAAACCTGGTTCTGATACTAAGGGCTGTTTTAGTTCCTGAACCGCCCCCCCACGCCCCTCTCCGGTAAAGGGAGGATGTAATCTCATCGGGTAGGGAAGAGGAGCTCAGGTGACACGTGCACAGCACCGGGGACACGATGGGCACCCGCGAGGTGTGTTAAATTCTATCACTCGAACAGAAATGCCAACTTTGCAGAGTCAGAAGTGACTGAAAACTGCCTGACACCTAGAAGACTGGCCTCAATTCTGTGTCTCCAGTGGGCTTCTCCAAATCATGCTCTCACTTAAAAGCTTCCTTTCCACAAATGAACTGGGAACTGTGTTTAAGAGCTCATCTATGGCCAACTTCTGGTCCCTACCAAGCTAAAATCTACTCAGATGTCCTCTATACAGCATAACCCAAGAGCTGGCCCCGAATCCCCAAACAGTCGGGGCAATGGACTCTCGGGTTCCCTCTCAGACGAGGGTTTCTTCTTCCTGCCGTTCTTTACCTTCTCGCCCTCATGCCAGGCAGCACTCCCCTTAACCCACCCAGTCATAATCTAACCCACAGCGAAAATGTAGGCAACTTCATGTTTCTCAACTCTGTCATGGTTTCTCCTGGATGAAACTGCCCATTTCCCAATCCTTTATGAGGAGCAGAAAGGAGGGTGTTGCTGTCACTCCACAGGAAAATGAGCCCAATGTCTAAGGTCATCTCAGGAGTGACTGCTATTCAGTGGGACCTAGTGATGGGAAGCTACCACCTTGGAAAAGCAGGAATTAGGTAGCCTAGTATTCCTTTTTCCTCAAAAGAAAGTTTTACACTATGCAAGACTTGATAAAAAATGTATATAACTTTTGTTACAGAGTGTACAAATAAATGAGTACACCCACAACCTAATTAAGAAATAGAATATTTCTATCACTAAAGTTCCACATTTGCCACCCCCCAGCGAAAGCCACTCTCCTGAATGGTTTATCATCCCCTTACTTTTTCAACATTATAAAAATAATAAATTCATAAACACAACATATAAACACTATAGCAGCATTAACTATGTTAATACATCAATTGTATCGACACGTAATATGTAAAAGTCTTGTTACACAAGAAAGAGGTAACACGGCAGGCCAGACTGCTCTCCTTTCAAGGGCATCCGTACAAGGTTGGCCCTCTACTAGCATCTGGGATTAGGATTTCAAGGAGAGTTCTCATCATTCCACAACTGGTAAGAGTGGCTCATTGTGCCTAAACTGTGTGTACAAACAACATGGTTTACCCTGAACACCTGCTTTCCTTTTGGAAGTTTGGGATTTGGGTACGTGCAAGGCAGAGGCAGCCTAGGCCACCGCCTCCCAGTAAGACCCTGGTACTGAGCGTCCAACAGCTTCCCTGGCTGATGCCCAGTAATACCTGTTGTCAGCAGTCACTGCCGAGAGAGAGAAGCGTGCACTGTGTGACTCCACTGGGAGACGAGTCCTGGAAGCCTGGCTTCCTCCAGACTTCACCCCACGTGCCTTGCCTTTTTGTGATTTTGCTTTGTATCCCTTCACTATAAGAAATCTTAGGCATGAATGTGACTACAAACTAAATCCTGTGAGTCATCCTACTACATCGCTGAATCCCTAGCATAACTGCATAATGTGTATTATATATACTACATAAAAAATTACACAAATGTAATTAGATTTGTAATTTTGTTATATTTCCAAAGAACATCTGATTCCATGAAAAATGGAATGATACTGTATATTTCTGAGACTAATTTTACTTAACATTATTTCTAAAACTGATCCATGTTTTACAATGTATGGCTACGGCTCATTCATCTTCCACTTATAAAAAGAATTCCATCGTATGATTACATCACAATTTATGTATTCACTCTGCAGTTGATGACTATTGCATTGTTTCCATGTTTTTGCTATCCTGAGCAGCACAGCTATGACCTGATTCTCTCTCCCAGTGCGTGTCTATGAGAATTTTCTTCTCTACGGTACACATACTTCTCTAGGTACAACTACTACAGATAGTCAGTGTTATAAAACAAAGCCAAATTATCTTCCAAAGTTTTTCTATCTCTAGAATATTCTCACCAAATTGTGTGAGGTATCACTGACCTACACCCTAAGAATGTTTAGAGTATCAGATTTTCAAACTGTCTCATTTCTCTATAATTTTTAGAAAAGTATATATGAGGGATGTAATCAAACAGCATTTAGATTCCAATCTGCAAATGTTTACTGAGCATATAACCTGTGCCAGGGCCTGTGCTAGTTCTTTTTTTTAAAATAATAGCCTCACATATCCTTTTGAAATAAAAATATATTATTAACATTATGTTTTATTATGTTAAAATGAGTGAACTAAAACCTATAGGCCAGCAGGAATTCTGAATTTAATAATTATCTTAAAGAAAAAAATGAGTCTTAAAATCCCAGATCCTACACACACACTGTCTCTGGATAATTCCTAGGCGTAGGTAACCAACCACCCCGACCCCAGTGTGCCCAGGCCTGTGGGGCTTCCAGGACCGTGGGCCTTTCAGTGCTGAAACCAGTAAAGTTGCACACAAACTGAGACAGTTGATCAGATCAGCCTTCTTGAGTGTCAGGACACATGGGTACTGACTCTGTTCTCAAGAAAAATCACTTCCCTCTTTAAGATTTTCCAAATGTCAGTTTTTTGCTATTTTTACTGTTAATTCATGCAACTAATGCCCTTGGTTGAAATGAATATTAAAGGAACAGTTAAGGACAGAAAAGAAAGGGTAACAATTAACTACAAAAAAGAACAGTATTAGGAGACTTGTGGCCTGGTGAAAACAGCTGGCAGGATATGGCAATTTTATATATATATATATATATTAACTATCAAAGCTCATCTCTGTAGTTCTTGGTCACGTAACATGTGGTATTTTTCCTAATCTAGTACCAAATGTTTTATGAACTCCTGGTTTTCTTATACGACTACTCTATGAAAAGCTCCCCTTGAACTATTATTTTACTTTAATTACGTAGTATTTTTTCATTTCATCATGTACATACTTGCTCTAAGTAGTCCTTTTATAATTCTCAAATCTTTTAGGTTTAACCTCCTAAATATCTGACTTAGCAATCATTAGAGATTAAAGGTAAACATTAACAGAAAAAAAGAATTAACCCAATATTACCTTTTAAATGTATCAAAAACACCTGAATCATCAAAATTAATGGCATCGGGGTGTCCAGGAGGTAGACATACATCACCAATATGAATCTCACAACATGGGATGCCATGCTGTACCACAGTCAAGCTTGGATAAAATGATGACCAACCTAAAATTAAATCAAACAGCAGTTACATAAAGGATGAGGATGGACAGAAGGTACCCTAATTTATTCTCTGATATACCTATCACTTCTGAGCCTTAAAAAGTTTTTAGTCCAGTTCCAGCAGATTTTTAACATGTCCGGTATCTCTGCTACAAAGCAAGTCCAAGTATTTTCTTCAAGCAATGCAAAAGCTCTCCAAAACTAGTTTAATTCAGCATTTTATTAATATACAGAGTCTATCAATCGGCGCTTCCACAATTTACAAGATAATAAGTGATAGATGATGATGACTGAGACCATGAAATAGCGTCTGAATTACCATTTTTCACACGGTGTTACAATAGACCTCGGAAAAGTGATTCAGATATATAGCATATTTGGTAACCCTAAACCAAAATGCAATTACCAGAATACTCCATTCCCCAAACTATACAAAGATACAGAGAGCTGCTTGTAGAGTGTGTTACAGGAGTCTAAGAGGAGGAGGTGACTCCTGCTAAAACGCATACACATCAGTAGGTATTGTGATAAGGCACTTCCTATGGTAGTTCTCTGTAGTTTGAAAGAAGTTCACCCTTCAAGTTTTTTTTTTCTTAATCACCAAAGAATTATGCCACAAGACATAATAATAGACTTAAGAAGTCTTCTTTAAAAAGTTACTATAAAATCAAATTGAAGCCCTACCTTTATTCTTAACATAGAAAGGGTGGTCCAGCTTACACTCTACAGTAAGTAAACCGTCTTCCTCTGTACCGGGATCAAAAGTCAACTTCAGTACAGACTCACCAAATGATACACTTTCTTCATGTGATAACAACTTTAGACCATCAGAACCATAGCCCTGAAAATACATGCATAGAGTGAACAAACAGGCAGTGTTTAATTCAACACATAGTGAAGTTCCTATCACATGTAAGACTTTGTGGAAAAGGTAACAATAAACAAGTCAGCATCCCTGTCTTTAAGGTCCTTGCTTTCCACCCACCAGTGAAGAAAGGCACATCTATAAACCACTACAATGTAAAGCAGACTGGAATAGCACTTTAACTGAAGTGTAAACAATGCTAATGGACTTTAATGAAGGGAGGTATAAACTCTAAAAGAGAGACTAGGAAGGGCTTTCAATTCCCACTTCTAAACCCAGAAGTTAGAAGAACAGGCCTCAATGCCAGCAACAGCTGAAACCAGCGACTTCTCTGAAGAGTGGCAAGTATTTGCTAAAAATACAGGGGAGTTCAGAGGTTAGGCAAAGAAGCCAGAAAAGGAGGGGCTAGTTAGTAAGTCGAGGAGTCTTAATGACGGGGACGTGCTCAAACCTTCCTTTGAATGGGTGCTGCAAGTCAATGAAAGTATTTTACTAACAACTGTCAATTTTAAGAAGATGATAAAGTCTGCAGGATAAAAGGTGACTCTCATATTCAATTTCTTTGAAGACATGAGGAAAGAAACCCATTAATCTTAAACTGACAAGTGCTGCGGTGGTAGAACCAGGCTAAATGTAAATCAACCAATATTTATTGAGCAGTCAGCACATGCCAGATGCTAGGTTCTGAAAACACGTTAACTACATGGGATCCCTAAAATTCACAAAAAAAACATGGAGACCGACAGGTCACCAGCTAGCTTTAGCACACAACCGTTTCTCCAGTGACAGAACCAGAAGGGTGACTGCAAAGCATCTTTAGGGAATTAGAACTGATCCACTAACTATGAAGGGAGGGGGGAAATAGTCAACTTCTTGGTTTTTAATCAGCCAATAGAAGGTTAACAATATCTTTAAAAGAAGGGAGAAAAAGCAGGCCAGGAAGGGGAAGGAAAAGGTGAGTCCAGTCTCGGTTATATGAACAAACTGAGCATAAAGAACTGGTTGATATCCACGTGCAGATGTCCAACATGCAGGGGAAAGCTACAGCCATATATTTGTAAACGAAATTATAGAATCTTCTAATTCTTAGAGCTATGAGACCTCCAAGGGAATTCAATCCCATTTTACAGATCAGAAAGCCAACACAGGGCGGGGTCAACAATCTGCCCAACATCAGTCACACACACAGTTGCTGAAGAACCAGAAACAGAGCCCAGATCTCCTGCCTCCAAGACCGGGGTGCCTTCCACAGGCCCACCAAGGGGCTGCGGCTGACTGTATCGGCAGACGGGAAATGGTGAAGACAGTGCCCACGGGCAGAACCTTCTCTCCCACTCCACACCATGGGCAGACAAGCCGCCAGCCACAGAGACGGAGACAGTAGAGAACCGGAGCCCCGCCATGCTGCACAAATCAAGAGAAGACAACTCCCTGTGTCAAATGTTGCAAAGATGACAAACAAAGCAAGAAGTCTCACTAGAAATCAGAATGAAGCTAGTAACCTTTGAGACAATCTGAGTAGAATGGCAGAGGCCCAAGTGAGACTAGGCGAACTTCACCATAAATGAAGAGTAACAGCAAGAGGGGGAAACTAAGGCAGTTGAGTCAGGACTAGTTCTCTCCAGACTCAACAGTAAGTAACAGCAGGATCAAAACAGGAATTTTAAACAAGCACACTTCACATGCCCAACTTCTCTGCCTACAGTGGAGATGGAGAAATTCAAGATTTTAAAGATTAAGATTGTACAGATACCAACTAACATTTAACCTTCCGCTGCCACCTACTGCCTTTGCTTATTAACTTAAACAAATGCCAGTGTTTTATCGGGTCATTTAAAAAGTAACTTAATATAATCACTCTCAATTATCCATTTGGGAATTAACCACTTTGTAGACCAAGAAAAAGCCTTGGTTCGTTTGTTCATTTTATTTGAAATGCCAGTTTAGTTTCCCCAACGTAAAACATACAAAAAGAGCTATGAGATACATCTTTTGCCCATCTAAGAAAGCATAATTACAAAGGTAAACCTGAAGTCACTGCCGCTCTCCATGTGGCTAAGCCATAACACAGTCACAAAACCTCTACCTAAAATATGTCACTTAAGTATGAAAGTAAATGGAGGATACTCCTACAGATTAATAATAAGCCTAGGTTTCCTTTCGAAAGATTTGGAAGAGTTTTATGAATTTTAAATCAACCTTGTGAGTGCCCACTTGGAGATCTTCCTCATTATCACAGCCTTCGGTTCTAGCAAAATCTTCAACATCCTGCCATTCCTTTTTGCTTCCCTTATGAAAGCACAGTCGTGTGCCTAAAGTTTAAGTAAAAAAAAAAAAAAAAAAAAAATTAGGTATGTGCCTAGCATGCTACACAAGTCAGCTGTAAAAATTCAAGCATTCTTTCACCTTTCAGAAAACAGTGCCAAGCAGTTGAAGGCCAGGAATTGCACCAGCCCAAATCATCATCATCGGAGAGGGAGGACATACAGAAAATGCCAGATTCTGACTCACTATTTGCCTATGGAGAAAAACATCAGAAACTTTATTTTGCAACATATTTTGTTAATATCTGTCTTTACCTCAGGCTTCTGGCTCTCTCCCTCCTCCTGAGTGGATAACTTAAACACTGTAAACTTAAGGAAAAATACGCCTTTGAAAACTGAAGTTTTTGGAAGTTTTAGTTCAATATATGTTCCCACTGGTAACAAACACTCCCCAAAGTTGCAAGAGCCGTACATAAACTCGAATCCAGATTGCTAGCAGAACAATGAGACAATTCCCCAGCTGTGCATGCTTCAGAAGGACTTCCAAGAAAAGGAAAGTTAACATATTTCAACTGTTGTGCAAACTTCGCTAACAGTTTACGTTCATGAATACACTCACCCTTTCGTGTCTGACTGGTGTTTCCTCCTTCCAGTGATGATGAGGGAAGGCTGGCTCGCTCTTAGAAGAGGACACAGGTGGAGGGCGTGCATAGGAATGTAAACTTTTGCTAGTAGCTATGATGTGTACAGGAGATGATCTAAAATAAGGAAGCAGTTTTAACCATAATGCAGAGCTCCTTACACAGTAGGTCTTTCCTTTTGATGAAAAGAACTTCATATTCCTAATACCAACTCGTCACATATAAGACACCTATCGAAAACACTGGTAAAGACATCAAGTTTTCACTTGGAGTACGCTATTCCTTAACTTCTTAACCAAGCCTTCTTCACACGTGGTAAATACCGTTCTTTTTTCATATTTACCCATGTATTTTAAAATTCCAAATTATTCATTCCTTTATTCAGACATGCATATCCTCATTCATGAAGGATCATGTGCAGGGCTCCCTGTCCACTTCTCTCTTCTACTTTGACTCAGTCAGTATGAACAGGGCATCTAAGCTGAACGTGACCAAGATGGAACCTTCTATCTACCAACCACCTGTCACTGGGCAGATAAAATGAACTACCTGAAGCTAAAATGCTTAAATTTATTATAGCAGAAAGGAGCCTATTTGCAACTTCTTGTAACTGGACACTATTTCTTGTTTTCTGATTCAAACTTATTGAAAAGCATCTACTCATAAGGCTAGTTATTTTCCCCCAGGATCACCTTAGAAAAAGGTCAGCTCTTCCCGGAAGGGGTAGCAGTAAGAAGCATGCCCAGCCTGGGTGAGTGGCACCATGCTCTGAACTCAAAAGAGTTCAGAAAGCAACAGAGAGGAAGACTGCAGGCTCTCGGAGACCAACCCGCCTGAAGGTCCCACATCAGGACAGTCTTGAGGTGCCAAATAGTAAGGGACCTAGGCCGTAACACAGCAAAGTATACACGTCTGTACTAAGCCTCTTAGTTGGTTGAAGGGGGAGGGACATCTCACTTTCTAGTTCTTCCCTTACTCCCTGAGAAACTTTATTGGCCCTTCAATTTTTATTTTATCCTCATTAACACTCTTTCATTATGCCTTTGCAGAAGTTACTTTTTGGTAAGGGTCTATTAAACTATGCTTTCATGTCCATATCACTTCTTAAATAAAAACCCCTGAGGGACGCCTGGGTAATTCAATGGGTTAAGCGTCTGCCTTTAACTCAGGTCATGATCCCAGAGTCCTGGGATCGAGTCCTGCTTCAGGCTCCCTGCTCGGTGGGGAGCCTGCTTCTCCCTCTCCCTCTGCCTGCAGCTCCCCCTGCTTGTGCTCTGTCATATAAATAAAATCAAATCTTAAAAAAAAAAAAAAAAGCAGGTGCCTGCGTGGCTCAGCCGTTGGGCATCTGCCTTCGGCTCAGGTCATGATCCCAGGGTCCTGGGATCGAGCCCCACATCGGGCTCCCTGCTCTGCAGGAAGCCTGCTTTCCCTCTTCTCAATTCCCCTGCTTGTGTTCCCTCTCTCGCTGTGTCTTTCTCTGTCAAATAAATAAATAAAATCTTTAAAAAAAAAACACACAAAACCCTCAAATTTCGAAGCATTTTATTAGCATACTCTCCAATCAATTTTGGATTTCAAAATACAAATAGTGTTTCATCTTTGGCCCATTTCTTCCTTTTATTAAACATTTAGATCTTTATGATATTGGAGAATGGCCAAACTGCTAAACTTCCTTAAGTATATCCCTGCCTTCAGGACTAATAAAAGAAATTGAGGTTTATTAGTTCTTTTGTTGAACCATTTAAGGAGAAGTAACAGCACAATGTTCTAAAATGCATATGGCCTGTAAAAATTAACATGCCAAACGTGTGTGAAACACCAACACCATAGGTCTCTTCATCCCTCTACCTACGCAGGGGTAATGTAAATGGTACCTGTCCCCAACCCCTTGGTATTGTACAGTTATGGACTTCAGAGATCCAAAGCTCACTAACTAACACCATTTAACATGCTCCAAGAAGCTGCATAAACAGCCACTGAGTGTTAGAAGACAGGCAAGACAGCAGAGTGTGACTCTTGGTCTTGTTCCCCAGGAAGAAGGGAAGCACAGAAAATGCTACAGAGAATAAGTTTATAAGAGTATCTCCTTTACTTATGTTTTTATTTATATCAATTATCTTCTGAGGGGTTTACTCAACTTTCCAGGAGTTCCATTATTAATTCTCTTAAGTTTGCTATAAAAAAAAAAAGTGTTATCACTAAACTAGGAAAAAGAAAGTCCAATGGGAAAATTAGGGTTTGTTTTTTTAATTATAAGCAAATTTTTAGCCTTTTGACTATTTTTTCTTTCTGGGAAATTTTTCATGGGATTAAACTGAAAAATTTAGTTAACTAAATTGAATTTGCCCTAATCGAGACCAATATCCTGCTGAACAGAAGAAAAACAACATAACTCAATGGGTTGCAAGAAAACCAGGGATTCACACATGAAAAGTTTATTTTTTAACAAAGAATTACATTAAGTTAGAAGCACTACCAAAATTCAGTTATCCCTACATCATCTCATGTGGACTGTCTACCCACGCGAGTACAAATCCGCTTTCTCTCCCCTACAAACTATCGTATTTATCTGGGTATTTTTACATAGCTAATTTTCTAATTTTAGGTATAATTAATGAAACATTATCCACTTAGGTCTCTCTAGGAATTTTAGTTCAAAGCTTCCATAATTTCATAGCACAACAACTCATTTGCAGAAACTCTGGTCTGGGTATATGAAACAGTGGTTTTTACCAATGGGAGTCCACTCTTACTAAGTTCTAGATTTTAACATTAGCAATTATGGTTTTCACCAGTGTCACATACATTGTGGAAGAAAATAAACCTAGACCAAAAGGAACCAAACTCAAGGTTGGTAAGATTTTAAAATAAAACATTTATTATAATTATGACTTTTTAGACAAGTATAATTTTCATTTCTATAAGGATAAGTATATAATAAAAGTATTTCTTGGTCTGGTTTAATTTTTGATGACTTTAATACACTTACAAATATTTTTGACTGCGGTTCTCTTACCACTTTTATCTACTTCTCAAAGTATGAAATCATGATATTAGGTGAAAAAGCTCTGCGATCATTATAAAACAAAGAACGTAATTTGAATGACTACTTAAATTCTAATTTCAGTAGACCATTCATTAGATGGTTAACAGCATTATTACTTTTAAAACTAGAAAAAAAAAGTAGCTCTTTGTAATGATAGACGTTTTCAATAAAAATAGAGCCAGTGTGCCCACCTGTTGTAGAACGAGCACTGCATAAGTGGACTCTGTGGGCTGGTGGCGATATTTGCTAATTCTGTTAGCCAATCCACCTCATTTTCACCATAAGTATTTTCTGATATGTCTGAGGTATTTTGGTTCCAAGATGGTCTTGGATACTCTTGATGTGAAACATCTGAACTTAGCTGGTATATGGCAGATTGGGTAGGATCACTCTGAACAGCCTGAAGTTCAGGAAGGTCATCTGCAAATAAAAACACTCAAAATTATAAAAAGTAAATTGCTAACATGGGGAATAATGTTATAATTACAGCTGGAAGAGAAGTCCTTAAATCTAGCTAATTAATTTTGTGAGAAGTATAAATTTGAAATGTTTTCTTGAATGAACAAGTTTCAATCTAAATAATGACACCTTCTACACTGCAGGGTCAACAGAGCCTGATGGGAAATAGACCAAAAAGATGTAAATGTACTGATGACTTGAATGACCACACCTCTTCCCAGACCCGAAAAAGTTTGTGTTTACATATTCTGATTTTTTTTTTATAGTTCACCGGATTAGTCCATATTCCAACAAGATGTTTTTAGGTTAACATGTTAATGAGGAAAAAAGCATTTTATGTGTACACATATGTACTTACTCCCATACTTTATTACCCTGTTATAGAAGATTACTGCAATAAAGAGAACAATTTTTAAAGATGAGATCAATAGGTCATGTTATAAAGTTTTAGGTACTACTTATTCAACTTAATCTATGCTAAATTATTTCTTCTGACTGAGAAATTCTAAACTCAATAATAATTGTTGGTTATGTTTTCTTAAAGGTGTGTTCCCAAGGCTCAAGTACACACCATGGCTATGAACACTAAGGAAGACTGAATTCTAAAAAAAAAAAAGGAAAAAGGAGAGGAGAAAAAGCCTCTTACAGGCCTTCAAAAAAACTTTATGAAACACACCTAAAACAAACTACAGATCCACTGGATTCCTTCAATACGTAAGTCAGGAAATTCTTCTAGCCTTGCGAGTCCTGGTCAACTGTTACTATAAAAATACACAGAATTCCTATTCAAGGCAAGTAGAACAGCCCATGAAAACTGAAATGTCTTACTTAACAAGTATTAATTAAGATCTCCAGTCCAAAAATGGACTAGAAGCCATCCCTCTTTGAGCAGCTGAAAAACATCACAGCAACTTAGGCAAACCCCACCCTGTAACTCCCGCACTGCTGTAGCTGTTCGCCTTCCCTCACTGCTGACGGCCTTCTGGGGCCAGCACTTCTTTAGTCACTGGGTGGAAAGGGTTCATTTGTCTTTCAAGCTCAGGAAATTAACTGCTTTTAAAGCCAAGCAGTGGGTTGTGGTGCAAGTTTTTGCCACCCTCCCCCCGGCCCTAACTTCCTGAGGTCCTCCTGAAAATGGTGGACTGGAGGCGCTCCGTGCTCAACGGCACCCACCACTCAGTGACTCGCAGAGCCCAGCAACCCGTTGGGAAATGTCCCAAGACCTGCAGGATCTCCAAATTCCCAAAGAGCACAGCAGCATGTAGCCTCCTCTGTCCTATCATTCGTAAAGGGAGGCTAATCATGGCTCTGTGGACATTTCGGCAAGCCACACATTAAATGCGGAAAGAGCCCAGCTGAAAAGCAGGGCCGCAAGCCCAGGTCACTCACTGGCTGCTGACTCCTCAAAACCAACGTCCCAGCAGTACAATTCCAAGACCTACTTTCACATGCCTACACACTTCTACCGGCCACGCATCCCAGGGTCGGCTCGGCAGCAGTGTGATGACCATATATGTCAGACCCTCCAGTTTCAAGGGTCCGCTGTACCTTGCCCGTCAAAGCTACAAACGGGCCACGCGGGGCTGAGCATAATGTACTACACTCACCAGCAGTTTCAAAAGTCACATGAGCCACACACAGGATTTTCCCGAGGTGTTTACCGGCCCGACCTTTACCAACGACAGCAGTTTAGTTTGATAATTTGTAAATCAGTCTCGATGATAACCATACACAGTCCAAAGTTACGTTGGTTTTAAGTAATATTTTACAAGCAGTAACAATGGAACATTGAAAACTCCTAAGGTACAAAAACTTCACATACTTTTAAGCAGTTTAAGGCAGGTGGAGAAGCTGACTTAACATAAAAATATGAATCTCAGACTCCTAAAAAACTTAATTTTGTTTACCAAGCTCCATGTGCTCATCACAGGAGTTGTATCCAGGTGAGGATGGCAAGTTTTCATTACACTGCAGCAACTCCAGTGAGTCATTCATTCCCGAAGCTCGCTTGTCCATCACCAGCAGGAGTTTCTGTACTGCATTAGGCATCTGATTTGTCTTCACTTCCCACACCATGTTATGGTGCTCCGACTTCAAATAAAAATAATAAAGAAAAATGTATCAAGTCGTGTGAGCTGGATATTACAGAAGTATCAAATCCATCAGAGACTCATAATGTTGTATCTTTCATCATATATTGCCATCTGTATCCCCCTCAAATCCTTTAGAGCAGGCCGACTCCCAGATTTCTTGGGCTACAACGATGTAGTCAGCACTAAATTATACCCAAATCCAAAAGGATTCATATCTTAAATGTATAAAAATGTTTTCTTTAAAAGAATAATAGCACTATTATATATACTTTTATTTCTTTAAGTAACTGAGACCCAAACACAGAGACCAAGAAAACCATTTTTTCAACTTGTTTCTTCAAATTTTTTTTTTTTTAAAAAAATTTTATTTGACAGAGAGAGTGAGTTAGCGAGAGCAGGAACACAAGCAGGGGGAGTGGGAGAGGGAGAAGCAGGCTTCCCGCTGAGCAGGGAGCCCGATGCGGGGCTCGATCCCAGGACCCTGGGATCATGACCTGAGCCGAAGGCAGACACCCAACGACTGAGCCACCCAGGCGCCCCTGTATCTTCAAATTTAAAAGAAAATTAACAAACTTTCCTCCATTAAATTAAAAAAAGAAAAACTGAAGGAATATTCTATTTTTTTTCATTTTTGAAGATTCTATTTCACTTTTTCTGTTTACCAACTTGTTATTTTGTTTTCTCATCTTCTGAAAGTAAAGTTTAACATACTTAAAATAACATTCTCTGAAGGACATTTAAGAAAGAGTTTCTTAAAATGGCTATATAGTACGCTTCTCAAAAAAATAAAAATGCTACATTTTCTTTATGAAAGTTTGGTACCCAGCCATCATAAAAAGATACCTGTCCTTCTGAATAGCTTATTATTTCTAGAAAGATGAATAATAATCATGGGAAATTTAAACAAATAGTAAACTTATCCTCATCTTAAGCCTACAAAGCTATCACAAGGAAGAAAATAACATAGGTTAATATACCTAAATGATTTCTAGCAAAGTCTACCAACTAAATTTTGTTGTGAAAGTAAAATGTGTTTATACCTTTTACACTCTGCCTTTGGACAATGATCAAATTGGTTATTTAACCGGGGTGACAGCAGCAGGAAGATTTCCTGATTTCTCAAGCTTTACTCCAAATCTCATTTTTAAAAAAAAGTTCTAATGAGCTAATATGAAATACACACAAGAAATCTAACATGACAGAGTTTTTCCTCAAAATAAGACAATAAAATATACTGCAATTTAAAGTCACTAAAAGTCTAGTACCTGGGCCTATGCTGATCAAAATGCAGTGAAAAGATGTTAACTGCTCAGTATTTACACCAGAGCTTTCTAAGCCATGACATAATCACCAACAAACACTGGCAACACTGACAAACTTTTTTTCTAGAAAAGCTTTTTCATGATCTTTTTATTATGAAATATGTCTTCCTAATAATCACTATAGGGGGAAAAATGGAAAAAAAGGCATTTTTAAATTTTATTTTTTATTTTTTTAAAGATTTTATTTATTTGACAGAGAGAGACATATCGAGAGAAGGAACACAAGCAGGGGGAGTGGGAGAGGGAGAAGCAGGCTTCCCGCTGAGCAGGGAGCCCGATGTGGGGCTTGATCCCGGGACCCTGGGACCATGACCTAAGCTGAAAGCAGACCCTTAACGACTGAGCCTCCAGGCACCCCTAAAAAGGCATTTTTTTAAAAGAAATAATGACTTTTTAAAAAGAGATTTATTTATTTTAGAGAGACAGAGAAAGAGGGCTTGTACAGGTGGAGGTGGGGCAGGGGCAGAAGGAAAGAAACTCAAGCAGACTCCCTGATAAGCGTGGAGCCCTACAGGGAGCTGATCTCAGGACCCTGAGATCATGACCTCAGCCGAAATCAAGAGTTGGACGCTTAACCAACTGAGCCACCCAGGTGCCCCAGAAAGGATGACTTCTAATCCCACCAACCAGATTTAGATATTGTTAACATTTTGGTATATTGTCATACAATCCAATCTCTTTTTCAGGCAGACACCTACAATTATATATTTTCCTTCATACGTTGTATTATATACAATTGATACCTTTTTCCTTAGCATAAGTTCATAAGCATTTTCCTATGTCACTAATTTTTCTTACAGGTCTATTTTAAATAGTTCCATAATATAGATTATTAGGCTATACCAACATTTCCTTATCCCTCCTACTGTTGAACATGCTATTCCCAGGGTTTTTACTCTTCTAAACAACAGTTTAAATTTTAAAAAAATATCTACTTGTATCAGATTATTTCAGATTTCTAGAGACACACTAGCAGGTGAATGGCAATTAAACATCTTCTAACGGTTACTGACACATGTAACCAAACTGCCTGTTGCCTTACTTTATTTCTAACAATCTCCTTCAGGTTCTCTCTGCCTATACCCCTCAAAAATGACCCAAATCCTGGGCATTGCCTTAGAGTCTTACTCAATACTGACTAAGATGTTCTACAGAGTAGTGAAAAGGGCACTGGGTCAGACGTAAGGAATCATGAGTTCTGAGTCCAGCTTGACTACTTACTATCTGATCTAAGTGACTGAGCTTCTCACTAACTCAGTATCTTCATCTGTCAAACAGTTGCTCTATTTTCCTCCTAGAGGGGTTGTGAGGATGAAATGAGACACAGTGAGTAAAAAAAATATAAAATGACTTCTTCACAAAATGTTTTATCCCTAGACTGACAAAGCACAACCTTATACATACTCTGGGCACTTAACGTCCCAAATAGAACAGTTACTGAAAATACTTAATGATAGGAGACCAGATAGCTAGTTTATTCAGCTTCGGCAATTTCCTCCCTCAAGAATATGACAAGTTATCCAACACATCTTAATAAAAGTCATGGATCATGCCATTATTTCAGGGAAATAACAGTTTATCTATCTAAAAGATGTCCAAACGTTCACAAGAAATGAACACTTTTCCAGTTTAGTACAATTTATTATCTACTAATCATAGTCTTACTATATGGTTAAGAGCAAATCTGCTGAGGTATAACAAATAATCTCCTACAAAATTGGTGGCTACAAAACATGTGGTAACACAAATTGATTTCTCAAGAATAACTGGCCAAATCATTACTCTGAACCTCCACATCACACTGCAAAAATCAAGCACACTTTAGCTAGATCAGTCATTCTCAAGCATGTGATTATGTGTGCCTCAAACAAAATGATGCCAAGGCCCCACCTCCAGAGAACATGATTTATTTGGTCTGGGGTATAACTCTATGTGCTGGCTTTTATTTATTTTCTTTCCAAAGAATACCAGGTGTATTGTGAGAACAAGTGAGCTAAAAATGATTACCAAATTCCTTCTTATTTAAATATACATATTCATTTAATATACATTATATACAAGGCACTATACTAGCTGCAATGTTGGACCTCAATGATGAACAATTTGTCTTGAATCTCAAGGAATCTGTACTTTAGTGGAAAGATATAAGCAAATAACCACAGTTCACAGCAGGGCTTGGCTACGAATGGGTAAAACGGAAGA